TGTGTGTCAGCTTGACACAAACTAGAGCCACCAGAGGAAGGAGCCTCAGCTGAGGAAATGCCTCCATGAGACCCAGCTGCAAGTGATCAATGTGGGAGGGCCCGGCCCATGCTGGGTGGTGCTGTCCCTGGGCCTCTGGTCCTGGGTTCCATAGGAGAGCAGGCTGAGCAAGCCATGGTCAAACAAACCAGTAAAGCAGCTCCCTTCCGTGGCCTCTACATCAGCTCCTGCCTCTAAGTTCCTGCCCTGTGTGAGTTCCTGTCCCGACTTTCTTCAGGGATGCTGAAGTGTGATCTGATTTAACCCTTTCCTCCCCTACTTGCTTTTTTGGGCCATGGTGTTTTGTCACAGCGGTAGAAACTGTAAGACAGACTCCTTGGACACTGTATTTTTATCCCTGGTGAGGAGGATGTGTAGGATGTGGGCCTGCCCGACCCCAGCAGTATTCACTGCCATCCTGCCCTGATAGAAGCAGCTTACTGGCTCTCTTCTGAAGGCCACACCCTGCCTGCCGCCTTTGTGGGCTTACTCCACTAGGAATGGCTCTCTGAGCACCTCAGTCAGTCCCCACCCGCGCCCCTCCCAGTCCGGAACGCCACCCGTGCTCAGTTCAGAAGATAATGTGAGCTTTATATCAGCCTTGGGCTGAGCCCCCGAATATCAGTGTCATCTCTATTATAGTTTTCTTTCTGTTGGGGCTTTGTCTTTCTGCCGTTGTGCACGTCCCTCCCACCGTTGGCTGTTTTATTTCATATGTTCATAGACAGCGGAGGAAACTATCTGTGACTGGATCTGTGCAGCTGGATATATATGAAGCATTCACTAAGAGAGAGAGAGACATGCCATGCAAACTGTAAATGAAGTGTATTTAATAATAATGATGATAATGTTACATCTATAGTGTTCGCTGTGCCTGCGTCTGCCGGGCTCTGCCTTTTACGTGCGTGCGTTAACTCAGCCGCCTGACAGCAGGCCCTGGTAACTATGCTTCTCATCTCCCCCACGCTCTGCCAGGCGGAGGAGAGTCTGGTCGCCTGAGTGGTGGGGGCGGCCCCGAACAGCAGCGGGGACAGGTACTGTAGGAGACCAAGGTTCTGGGGCCGGCTGGAGATTTTCATAGTTCCAAAATCAAGGATGAGTTCCTCTGTCATTGCTGAAAACTGATGCCCGACAAAAGGCATCTTAAGGAAGGGTCTATCATGACCTGCAGTTTGAGGGTGCAGCCCGCCATGATGAGGACAGCACGGTGACAGGGACCGGAAGGGAGGCCGCGGTCACGTGGAGCCTCAAGTTGGAAACGCGGGGAGATGAATTGCTCGGCCTCCTCCATCTTTTTTTTCTAAAGCCTGCAGATCCAGCCCAGAGAATGGTTCTGTCTTCACATAACGTGTGTCTTCCCACCCCAGTTAACCTAACCTAGAGAAGCTCTCACAGATGCGCCTCGAGGTTTACCTCTGAGATGGTTCTACATCCGGCCAGAGGGCGACTGTATAAACAGACAGGGCTGGAAGTGAATGCGTCTTCAGATTTTCAGAATAAATCCCAATGAATTATCCTTGTGGCCGAACCTCCCCTTCCTGAGCATGTTATATTAAAAGTTCAGTCCGTTGGGCGGTGGCAGCGTACGCCTTTGGCCCCAGCACTCCGGAGACAGGCGGATCTCAGAGTTCCAGGCCAGCCTGGTCTACATACAGAGCGAGTTCTAGGACAGCTAAGGTTACACAGAGAAATCCTGTGTCAGAGGAAAAACACAAAGTTTGGTCGGGTGTGGGAGAAGGAAGTGTTCTGGTTGATGGAGGGAGGGCCGAGTCATAATCCAGTCTTGCTGGATGACCCCGGCCATTAACTTGTGGTTGGGTGGGTTCAGTATGGTCATGTGAGTGAACCCTCTTGAAAGTTGCACTTTGGCACATAAAGGCAAGCCACTACTTACATCGTTAGTGTTGTATCTGGTTACCGAATACCTCCAAGATGACTTCTAAGAGACTGAGTTACCTGATGGATGAGAGCAGGCCTCAGAGTCCTAAGTAGTTGAAATGACCCAGGACATTAGAGAACAAATCTTTAAAAGAGCAACTCAGATTTCAGAAATAATTACCGAGTGCCCTCAGTAGTTGTATTGGTCCACAGACAGGAAACACATAAATATGTCAACATGGACGACTAATGTATGGAATTATTATAAATTATTATTGTTGTTACTGCTATTACTTACCTGGCAGCACAGTAACAATAACTCTAAAGTTTATGTTTACCACCAATATACTAAATCTGGCTATTGCCCGTTTATCAAATTTTAAACCCATCCTGTGCCTATTTGTCCCGAGTTACTTTTGATCCCCAATAGCAGAGCTTATGAGTTTGACACAGCCCAAAAGGCTGACAAAACCTAGACTATTTATTTTCTGGCTCCTTACAAAGTTGGCTCATTTCTGTTCATAGAACACAACTGTTGCAGGTTCTGGGAGCAGTGTTCCCAAGGAAAAAAGAAACTTGGAAGAGCCTACCCACTTCCTGGGACTAAGATTCAGGTCTACCTAGACTGTGGCCATGGATAAGGGAGGTATACCCCTAGGTCTTCACCAGGAAGCCCCCTGGCTGCTGGATTGTTAAGAGCAAGGTGAAACAAAATGAAACCCCAGTTAAAACACACAAAACAGATATTACACTGTAGGGAGAAAACCCCTTCTAGTATCTTCTACCAGGGCCTCCGTCGTGTCGTTCATTGTCTTGACAAAGTCGGAAGGAACCTCAGCCCTTCTTCTTTGGGGTCTGGTGGTGCTGACGGCCCCTTTGTGAAGGGACAGAAGGTGGATGAGCCTTGAGCCTGGGCGGGTGGTGCATGGCTGTGTGTTAGATGCCTCGTAAGCAGGGGACAGGGGTGGAGTCGATGCCACCTCGGGTAGTTGTCCATCTTGCCCCCTTGGTAATGGAATTTTGGAAAGCTGTGTTCATGCTTGGGTTTTGTTGGGCTCATGGAAGTGGCTTCTGAGGCAAATGTTACTGATTATGACAGCCAGTGTTTGTTTATTGACTGCCTGTTATGTGCAGCACAACAGACAGAAACAGAAGAATGAATTTTTTTAAAAAGTTGATTTAAAATCATTTGGGGATTTTTTTTGGGTGTGGCAGTTTTTATTTTTATTTTTAAATGCCCCGTGTGAATTGTTTCAACGTTTAAATTTTGTAGGCATTACTTGAACTTTTGCCATCCCAAACTAAAGACTAGCTAGACTTTTATGTGTTTTTGATTTTGCATATTTTCTAGCCTCCGTTCCTAAAACATGCTTTGCATGATTATAGTAAATTATGCACTTCTTTGGTTTCTTAGAATGTAAAAATACCTCTGTCAAGTCTGCTCGGGTTAAATAATTTGAAGTGAAATACAAGCTTTTGCTCACATGTTAGGTGGAGTTGTCTGGCTGCACCTTGGACAACTCCAGAGTCTGAGGGGCTAAACACAGTACATGACTCAGTTCTCAAGGCATATTTCTGTGTCCCGTGGCCTTCTGCAGGATGACTCAGCATCCAGATGCCTTCTGCCACAAGGATCCGTTCTCCCTGCAGACCACTGCTGGCTCTTTTGCAGGCGGCCCTGGTTGGGGAGGTTTCACATGGAACATATCTCAGGGCCAAGGTGGCAGAGGCCACATCTCTTCTGCTTACAGATCATTGGCCAGAAGAAAGTCATGTAGCCACACCTAACCAAAGGGAGCCTGGGAAATGTAGTCTCGTAGTATTGAGACGGAAAGGACAACGTTCTGGGAACTCAGAGCAGCCTCAGTTACAATTCCCATGTAAATGCCACATGCTTCCTAGCTACAAATTGTCCCTTGTGTATATATAGTGTTCATCGAGGACGTGTGTTTTAGGTCTTAAAGTAATAGCTTTAAAATAATTTTGCAGTGGTTTGTTTGATAATGATGGATTTAATACTTTGTAAAAATTTTCATTTATTAGTCTGTATGTGTATGTATGTGTATGCACATACGTGCTTGTTCACTGGGGCTAAAGTGCATGTGTGCAGGTCAGAGAACTTCCAAGAGTCGGTTCTTTCCTTCTACCATGTGGGTTCTGGGGATTCAACTCAGGTTACCAGGCTTGACAGCAAGAGCCTTTGGGTGCTGAGCTGTATGCTGGCCCTGGATTCAGTTTCTTCTCATAACCCCCCCCACACACACACACACAATTTTAGCTACTTTTTATGCTCATGTGTGAGCGCGCGCGAGCACACACACACACAATACACACACTCTTAATACATGTTTATATCTATTTTAGCATTTGAGACACTGTAGTATGCAGTCACGTGAGTTGTATTTCTGCCTGTAGCGTAGAAGTATGAGAGTTTTACCAAAAAGGCGGTTGGAAGTAGCTAGGACAGGCTCGGTGTCTTTCATTTCCCACGGGCTTGTTACCCTTTCTTACTCAGGGTGTGCTAGAACCAGCGTCTCCATTCCGTAGCGTTCACTCCCGGCAGGTGTGAATAGTTTTTCTCGCTTGCCTGTATCCGGTCCAGCTCATGGTTTTGTGGGTTCGGGTGATATTTGTGTTGTGAGGGTATAGTATTTCGGAAGTGTCCCAAGGAGAGCTGTATTGAATCGGTCCTGTGGGGACATTTAAGGCCTGGGTCAGGATGAGCCCACAGAGGCAGCCGATGGGCTGGTTCTCTAGACAGGGCATTTGCAATGGAGCTGAAGTTCGGAAGGGCAGAGATCAGCCAGAGGTGGCCTGGGAAATGCCCTAAATAACTGAATGACATCACTGAGGCTGAACCGGAGCTGTGGAAGGTGTCTCTTTTCCCTCTGAAAACAGATTTCTTCTCATTCTGTTTCTCAATAGTGATATCAGTGCAGCTATTGGAGAAAGGGTGGGGAATGATATTATGGTCTGGTTACATGTGAGACTTCTGTCAAACAAACAAGAAGGCGTATCTATCTGTCTAAGAGTATCCCTATCTAAGAGTATCTCAGTGACGGGGCTTCCCTTTGGTCTTCTAGGCAAAGCCGAAGCTGATCGAGCCACTTGACTACGAAAATGTCCTCGTGCAGAGGAAGACCCAGATCCTGAATGACTGTCTGCGGGAGATGCTTCTCTTCCCTTATGATGACTTCCAGGTGAGTGATTGCGCCACCACTGAATAGCGGTGCTCACAAAAGCTGGGAAACACTACCTAGATCCGGTCGTACACATGTTCCTGTATACCGATGACTAGATCCAGCCTTGGTGGCACAGACCTCCCTCTGTATTCCCAGTTAACTAGGGACGATCCCAGGTTCAAGGCCCGACAGAGGCACAGAACTAGTTCAAAGGCGGCCTGGGTCATGTAGTGAGATGGCTAGTGTACTTCCCTAGCATGTGTGAAGCCCTGTGTTCAGTGCCCGCAGTGTGGAAGGAAGGGGCTGTTAAATAAAAGTGTGTGTGTGTGTGTGTGTGTGTGTGTGTGTGTGTGTGTACTCTGGGTAGACTTACAACTGATTCTTATGTCTTAAAAGACTACTTCAGCCTTTGAGCATAAGTAGGAAGGACCCGGATGCTGGGAAATCGGTAACCACTGAGATGCAACCCCCAAGCCTCATTTGCTATTTTTAAAACCAGGTATTCTAGAATTTCCCGGGGAGCTGCAGATGCTTGTTACATCCTGTGGGATGACACTTTGGACCCTGCCGTGAGATGCCCTGAACCGTGGGTTCCCAGGCCTGTGAGGCGATGGGTCACAGTGTCCTGATCTGTGTCTCTGTAGCAGGACGTTGGTATTGCTCCTTGGAGGGAAGCTCCTGCCTCCACTGATGTCTGGATCCTTGCTTAATGCCTTTTAGCCTCCAGCTAGGTGACACACAGGAAGCCTTGAGGTTACTGAGGAGCAGGGGTTAGTAACCCTTCCCTAGAGCCCTGGGGTCACTGCAGTTTGCTTAGAGGTTCGTTTTCACTCCAATTTTGTTCTCCTGGATGTTTCTCAGCAGTTTCCTGTCTGTCCTCTACCTCAGTTTCCTTAACCTGGATACTCCTGCGTGATGTGTGACCACCCGGACTGGTCTTCTGTGACCAGAGCTGGGACTGGAGAGGTAGCTTGGTGGCTAAGAGTGCTCACCGCTCCTCGTCATTGTGGTTTGTTTGTCTGTTTTTCCCAGACAGCTTCCCTTTGCAGTTGGCTGTTGCTGACCGTTCGTCTCTGTAGACCCCCATCAGATTTTCTTGTGCTTCCTAACTGCTGGTATCCACCACACCTGGGTTTGCTTGGCGCTCTTGTGGAGGATTTGAATTCAGACCCCACCCAGCACCTGGGTTTGATGGCTCTCAGCTGTTTGTAACTCCAGCTCCAGCGGAGTTCTTGTCTCCCCCCGGCGCCTGCACACACGTGAGCACATACAGACACGTGAGCACATACAGACACGTGAGCACATACAGACACGTGAACAAAAAGGACATCTATTTTTTTTTAAAAAAAAAAAAAGTCTCTACTTTCCCCTAATCTCGCTTTCCAGAATTACTCTATACAGGTCTGTTCACACTGGTTTTTGGGTTTTGTTGTTGTTGTTTGTTTTTAGAAACTCTTACGTTAGTAGCAGCTGTTCCGTTTTAACCACTGATAGCTGTCCCAACACCAATTTTAAAAAGAGTTCATGCAGCAACGAGAATTTTCGTGAATGTCTTTTCTAACTTGCTAGAGACTCGTTCATCAGCTGGACATGGCTGTCCGTCTGTCCGTCAGTTCTTTCCTGTGGGGGGGGGGCAGGAGGATGCAACAAAAACGAAGGTGATGGTTTATAAAGTGTCAGAGCCCAAGGACACTCCACTGGTGAGCATCGGGGTCCTCTCCTGGCCCCAAACACCATGCTTTGAGAACCCCAAAGCTAAAATGCACACAGGAGGGCACTCTAGAGTTCTGCCTTCTGCCCAGGCCTGGGTACCAAATGAAAAAGTCAGTTGTGTACAAATTAGACTCCTCGTTGACATGTTTTTCCTGTACCATTCTCAGGGAGGCCACGGGTTAGCTCCCTTTGGCCCCGAAATGTACGTTTTTCTTGGCGTTGGGGAATAATTTTGTTGTTTCGTCTAACAGCCAAGAATGAGAAGTTGTATTTGTGGACACGAAGTGAAATTGCTGAAGAAAGAAAGCAAAACAGCCAAGCACACGGTTCCTTTAGTATCTCAGTATCGTCTTCTCTCCCAGGGACAAAGGACCCAGACACTCAAATAGTTTGCAGAGTCAGGTGATTAAGATTTGGAGGAGGTCCACTCGTCTCTTGCCCAAAACCATTTCTGTGAGATTCTAAGGGACAGAGAGCCTCGGCATCCCTGTTCTGGCCAAGAATGAATGAGCAAATGTTGGTTTCTGTTTTAGGAAAATGGTTCCAAAGCTGAAGGAGTCTGGATGTCGGTCGGCTTTGGCTCACATCCTAGCAGTAGTGATGGGCACAGCTGACTCAGGGCTCTGTTTGTTCCCCTACAGACTGCCACTTTGTCATCGGGGAGACTGTTTACACCACCCATTCTTGTTAATCCGTCTCGGTGATGCTACTAACTGTCCAGTTACAGTGTGAGTTAATGACTTAGAAATGCCGCGACGGCCTCCTGTTTCCTTTTTCTTAGGTATCGAGGGATGACATCAATCCTGTATTTCTAGAGGCATTGCAGACGTGTGATGAGGGAAATGCATCTCTTTTTCGTGGGATGATGAGGTTAGGAAACGGATCAGATCGTGAATGCACTGCATGAGGGTACAATACCCTTCAGTGAGCAATTGACTCTGAAGGTAATAGAACTTGTATACATGTCTGCCAGGCGTGTTCAGATGATAACTTCTAAAACGTAAGTGTCGCCGTTGTGTGTTTCCAAGTGGGCATGCCGACATTGTGCACCTGTTCTTCAGATCTGGAGAATGAATTGTATGGGAGGAAAAAGGCTATCAGGTAGATGTACCTTTCCCAAAGGTGAGGATGTCAAAACAAAAGGCAGAGAAATATGAAATGTATTTTTAAAAAAACTCAAGGGAAATCCTTCGTGTCAGATAGGTGCAAGGCAAATGAAATCATCTTCCATGACCAGGGACGGAGGGTGTGTCACAGGGACAAGGGAACAGGACTGGTGCAGGGCAGATTTGTTCGGAATCAACCCTGATGCTTTGCGGTCAGTGCTGGCTGTTCCTGTCTTGTCTTTCTGGGTCTCCCAGCCAGCAGTGTCTCGGGACCCTTCCGAAGCCAATTGAAGTCTCATGTCCTCCGAAGCTACCTAAGCCCACTGTGGCCTTCCCCTGACTTTTCTACTTACTGTGTACATAAGTATATGTGTGCTGTATAGTCTGCCGTTGGAGGCTGCGCTTTCTGTCCCAGTCCTACCTCGCAGCTGAGGCTCAGTGAAGTACCGTTTTCTGTGTTTCTGTGCTATCTGCTGTTCTCTTTGTCTGCATGGACTTCTGATCCCTGATATATTGAACAGGGATTGGGATTGGATATATGTTGAAAATGCCTATCAGATCAGTAATCCGATTTGGTGAATGTCAAGTAATTTCTTAATTACCTGACATTCTCCAGTTTAATCCTAGGGCATGACAGCTCTCCCATTTAATCCTAGGATCTCAGAGACAGAGATGCAAGTGTCTGTGAGTTCAACGCCTGCCTGGTCTGCATTGGCAAGTTCAGGCCAGCTGGGGCTACTGAATGAGACCCTGTCGTTAATTAAAAAAGGGAAAAAAAAAAAAAAAAAAAGGCAGTTCAAATTAGGTCTTACGAGGAGTATATTTCCTGGTGGTTAAAGGGTCTTTTTGTTTTTAAAATTTCATAATGTTTTCAAAGCTGATATTTGGAATAACTTTGAACTTTCCAACGAGCAAAATCAGAGGAAAAATTCTACTACGTTTGAATGATAACATTTTTTTTTTTTTTTTCCCTGTGGGAATGTTTTGTATCAAAAAAGAAAAAAATGTAGGTTGGCTCATAGCTGGAAGAAGGTTGACAAGGGTTTGCCTGGGTGAAAGTTGCTGTCAGAACTGACCCTGTGGAGATGGCTGACAGGACAAACTTCACCCTGTGGTGGACTTGGAGATGACATACTTATCAGCCCAAGTTCTTATCTCCGGTCTTGTTACCCAGGTTACCAATGTTTGTATAATGTTATATTGTCATGGAGCATAAAGGACGTTAAATACTGAAAAGGGATGTTTTGGAGTCAGTTTATGGGTGTCATTCATATTTCATAAAAGTTAGGATTAGGTGTCTAGTATAAACCAGGCATGATGTTTGTGTGGGAAAGAGAGAGTTTCTTCCACTTCCGAGTTTGCGTCTGTCTGAAGACCTGAGCAAAGACGCAAAGATGAATGTTCCGTAGCTGTGTGAGTTCTAGGAAAAGGATGTATGTCCATGGGTGAGTGAAAAACAGCAACAAGACACCACAGTGTTTGCTTGAGATGCTTAGGGCCTGCACCACCACACCCAGGCATACTTTGAAAAGTGTTTGGTTATAGGATTTCTAGCCAAACGCGGCTATGGGTGTGTACGCGCCGATCCTAGAACCGCATGCAAGGTCGCAGTGAGTCGTGATACCTCAGGAGAACACCCTGCTGAGTTCCACGGTGGTGCATCGTCCATGCCCGGCTGGAGAATTTAAGATGCAGCTGAAGATGATGGAGGATGCACAGTTCTAGCAAGTGCTTAGACTCAGGTTGGCCTTTGAGTTGCCTCAACGTTGTATAGGGAAACGCCGTAACGCCATTTCCCTGTCAGTAACATCCTGACTTCTATTTCCCCCCTGGTTCTTTTCCTCTTTCACTTACATGCAACCGATAATTATCTACAATCCAGTGACCTGGAGAGGAAGCTGAGCGCCAGGACTCACAAAGGCCTGGAAGTCCCTGATCTCATTTCCCATCTACCCTTTGGAAAAGAAAACACTTTTCAGCGCTGTTTTTTCCTTGGTATATATTCTTTTCCCAGTAATGTTTTGTTTTTTTACTTTTTACTAAAATGCCCTTTTTGTAAATTTGAAAATTTGTAAATTTGTCAGCTGGAGTTCAGTGTCCAACAATGTGATATCACGTGGACATTGTGTTCACGTCTAGGCTGGGCCTGCCTGGAAAAGTTAGATATGATGTCTATGAATTACATAAGCCTTGCGGAGG